AGAAAACGTTTACAGATCTTCTCGCAAAAGTTTGGAAAATCTTATCATTAGAAGAACTACAAATCTTCTATAAAACAAACTCTACAGATCTTCTAGGAGAAGATCAACAGATCTTCTATGATGAAATCTACAGATCTTCTATGAGAAGATCTCTACGGATCTTCTATGAGAAGATCTCTACAGATCTTCTATGAGAAGATCTCTACAGATCTTCTATGAGAAGATCTCTACAGATCTCTATGAGAAGATCTCTACAGATCTTCTATGAGAAGATCTCTACAGATCTTCTATGAGAAGATCTCTACAGATCTTCTATGAGAAGATCTCTACAGATCTTCTATGAGAAGATCTCTACAGATCTTCTATGAGAAGATCTCTACAGATCTTCTATGAGAAGATCTCTACAGATCTTCTATGAGAAGATCTCTACAGATCTTCTATGAGAAGATCTCTACAGATCTTCTATGAGAAGATCTCTACAGATCTTCTATGAGAAGATCTCTACAGATCTTCTATGATAAGATCTCTACAGATCTTCTATGATAAGATGTCTACAGATCTTCTATGAGAAGACCTCTACAGATCTTCTATGAGAAGACCTCTACAGATCTTCTATGAGAAGATTTCTACAGATCTTCTATGAGAAGATCTCTACAGATCTTCTATGAGAAGATCTCTACAGATCTTCTATGAAAAGATATACAGAACTTCTATGAGAAGATCTACAGATCTTCCATGAGAAGATCTACTGATTTTCTATGAGAAGAATATCTACAGATCTTCTACGAGAATAATATCTACAGATCTTCTACGAGAAGAATATCTACAGATCTTCTACGAGAAGAAGACCTTTAGCTCTTCTGTGAGAAGACCTACAGCTCTTCTTTTAAAAGACTTACAGCTCTTCTGTGAGAAGACCTTCAGCTCTTCTGTGAGAAGACCTTTAGCCCTTCTGGGAGAAGACCTTCAGCTCTTCTGTGAGAAGACCTTCAGCTCTTCTGTGAGAAGACCTTCTTCTATGAGAAGAATATCTACAGATCTTCTACGAGAAGAATATCTACAGATCTTCTACGAGAAGAATATCTACAGATCTTCTACGAGAAGAAGACCTTCAGCTCTTCTGTGAGAAGACCTACAGCTCTTCTTCTAAAAGACTTACAGCTTTTCTGTGAGAAGACCTACAGTTCTCTGTGAGAAAACCTTCAGCTCTTCTGTGAGAAGACCTTCAGCTTTTCTGTGAGAAGACCTTCAGCCCTTCTGGGAGAAGACCTTCAGCTCTTCTGGGAGAAGACCTTCAGCTCTTCTGTGAAAAGACCTTCAGCCCTTCTGGGAGAAGACCTTCAGCTCTTCTGTAAGAAGACCTTCAGCTCTTCTGTGAGAAGACCTTCAGCTCTTCTGTGAGAAGACCTTCAGCTCTTCTGTGAGAAGACCTTCAGCTCTTCTGTGAGAAGACCTTCAGCTCTTCTGTGAGAAGACCTTCAGCTCTTCTGTGAGAAGACCTTCAGCTCTTCTGTGAGAAGACCTTCAGCTCTTCTGTGAGAAGAGCTACAGCTCATCTATGAGAAGACCTTCAGCTCTTCTGTGAGAAGAGCTACAGCTCATCTATGAGAAGACCTTCAGCTCTTCTGTGAGAAGACCTTCAGCTCTTCTGTGAGAAGAGCTACAGCTCTTCTATGAGAAGAGCTACAGCTCTTCTATGAGAAGAGCTACAGCTCTTCTATGAGAAGAGCTACAGCTCTTCTATGAGAAGAACTACAGCTCTTCTATGAGAAGAGCTACAGCTCTTCTATGAGAAGAGCTACAGCTCTTCTATGAGAAGAGCTACAGCTCTTCTATGAGAAGAGCTACAGCTCTTCTATGAGAAGAGCTACAGCTCTTCTATGAGAAGAGCTACAGCTCTTCTATGAGAAGAGCTACAGCTCTTCTATGAGAAGAGCTACAGCTCTTCTATGAGAAGAGCTACAGCTCTTCTATGAGAAGAGCTACAGCTCTTCTATGAGAAGAGCTACAGCTCGTCTATGAGAAGACCTATAGCTCTTCTATGAGAAGACCTATAGCTCTTCTATGAGAAGAGCTACAGCTCTTCTATGAGAAGACCTATAGCTCTTCTATGAGAAGACCTATAGCTCTTCTATGAGAAGAGCTACAGCTCTTCTATGAGAAGACCTATAGCTCTTCTATGAGAAGAGCTACAGCTCTTCTATGAGAAGACCTATAGCTCTTCTATGAGAAGAGCTACAGCTCTTCTATGAGAAGACCTATAGCTCTTCTATGAGAAGAGCTACAGCTCTTCTATGAGAAGACCTATAGCTCTTCTATGAGAAGAGCTACAGCTCTTCTATGAGAAGACCTATAGCTCTTCTATGAGAAGAGCTACAGCTCTTCTATGAGAAGACCTATAGCTCTTCTATGAGAAGAGCTACAGCTCTTCTATGAGAAGACCTATAGCTCTTCTATGAGAAGAGCTACAGCTCTTCTATGAGAAGACCTATAGCTCTTCTATGAGAAGAGCTACAGCTCTTCTATGAGAAGACCTATAGCTCTTCTATGAGAAGAGCTACAGCTCTTCTATGAGAAGACCTATAGCTCTTCTATGAGAAGAGCTACAGCTCTTCTATGAGAAGAGCTACAGCTCTTCTATGAGAAGACCTATAGCTCTTCTATGAGAAGAGCTACAGCTCTTCTATGAGAAGACCTATAGCTCTTCTATGAGAAGAGCTACAGCTCTTCTATGAGAAGACCTATAGCTCTTCTATGAGAAGAGCTACAGCTCTTCTATGAGAAGACCTATAGCTCTTCTATGAGAAGAGCTACAGCTCTTCTATGAGAAGACCTATAGCTCTTCTATGAGAAGAGCTACAGCTCTTCTATGAGAAGACCTATAGCTCTTCTATGAGAAGACCTATAGCTCTTCTATGAGAAGAGCTACAGCTCTTCTATGAGAAGAGCTACAGCTCTTCTATGAGAAGAGCTACAGCTCTTCTATGAGAAGAGCTACAGCTCTTCTATGAGAAGACCTATAGCTCTTCAATGAGAAGAGCTACAGCTCTTCTATGAGAAGACCTATAGCTCTTCAATGAGAAGAGCTACAGCTCTTCTATGAGAAGAGCTACAGCTCTTCTATGAGAAGACCTATAGCTCTTCTATGAGAAGACCTATAGCTCTTCTATGAGAAGACCTATAGCTCCTCTATGAGAAGACCTATAGCTCTTCTATGAGAAGAGCTACAGCTCTTCTATGAGAAGACCTATAGCTCTTCTATGAGAAGACCTATAGCTCTTCTATGAGAAGACCTATAGCTCTTCTATGAGAAGACCTATAGCTCTTCTATGAGAAGACTTTCAGCTCTTCTGTGAGAAGACCTACAGATCTTCTATGAGAAGACTTACAGCTCTTCTGTGAGAAGACCTACAGCTCTTCAATGAGAAGACCTACAGATATTCTAGGAGAAGACCTACAGCTCTTCTGTGAGAAGACCTACAGCTCTTCAATGAGAAGACTTACAGCTCTTCTGTGAGAAGACCTACAGATCTTCTATGAGAAGACTTACAGCTCTTCTGTGAGAAGACCTACAGCTCTTCAATGAGAAGACTTACAGCTCTTCAATGAGAAGACTTACAGCTCTTCTGTGAGAAGACCTACAGATCTTCTATGAGAAGACTTACAGCTCTTCTGTGAGAAGACCTACAGCTCTTCAATGAGAAGACCTACAGATATTCTAGGAGAAGACCTACAGCTCTTCTGTGAGAAGACCTACAGCTCTTCAATGAGAAGACTTACAGCTCTTCTGTGAGAAGACCTACAGATCTTCAATGAGAAGAGCTACAGCTCTTCTATGAGAAGACCTATAGCTCTTCAATGAGAAGACTTACAGCTCTTCTGTGAGAAGACCTACAGATCTTCTATGAGAAGACTTACAGCTCTTCTGTGAGAAGACCTACAGCTCTTCAATGAGAAGACCTACAGATATTCTAGGAGAAGACCTACAGCTCTTCTGTGAGAAGACCTACAGCTCTTCAATGAGAAGACTTACAGCTCTTCTGTGAGAAGACCTACAGATCTTCAATGAGAAGAGCTACAGCTCTTCTATGAGAAGACCTATAGCTCTTCAATGAGAAGAGCTACAGCTCTTCTATGAGAAGAGCTACAGCTCTTCTATGAGAAGACCTATAGCTCTTCTATGAGAAGACCTATAGCTCTTCTATGAGAAGACCTATAGCTCCTCTATGAGAAGACCTATAGCTCTTCTATGAGAAGAGCTACAGCTCTTCTATGAGAAGACCTATAGCTCTTCTATGAGAAGACCTATAGCTCTTCTATGAGAAGACTTTCAGCTCTTCTGTGAGAAGACCTACAGATCTTCTATGAGAAGACTTACAGCTCTTCTGTGAGAAGACCTACAGCTCTTCAATGAGAAGACCTACAGATATTCTAGGAGAAGACCTACAGCTCTTCTGTGAGAAGACCTACAGCTCTTCAATGAGAAGACTTACAGCTCTTCAATGAGAAGACTTACAGCTCTTCTGTGAGAAGACCTACAGATCTTCTATGAGAAGACTTACAGCTCTTCTGTGAGAAGACCTACAGCTCTTCAATGAGAAGACTTACAGCTCTTCAATGAGAAGACTTACAGCTCTTCTGTGAGAAGACCTACAGATCTTCTATGAGAAGACTTACAGCTCTTCTGTGAGAAGACCTACAGCTCTTCAATGAGAAGACCTACAGATATTCTAGGAGAAGACCTACAGCTCTTCTGTGAGAAGACCTACAGCTCTTCAATGAGAAGACTTACAGCTCTTCAATGAGAAGACTTACAGCTCTTCTGTGAGAAGACCTACAGATCTTCTATGAGAAGACTTACAGCTCTTCTGTGAGAAGCTCTATAGCTCTTCTATGAGAAGATCTACATCATCTATAAGAACTTATATGTTCCACAGATCTTCTATTCAAAACCAAAAAAAGAGATAATTTTCAGTTCAACATAAAGGATATGGACTCACCAAATAAAATCTTAAAATCTGCTGCGGATGATCTTGTATCAATTAATTTCGCAATGTAGATCCAAAAGGAATGCGGGATAATTATTCTTTTGTTATAATCTTCCATATAAACAAAATTCTATAAAATTCTTTTGAATTCAAAAAAGATTTTTTTTTGTTTCTTTGTTCTTTTTTTCTTTTCATGACATTTTTCTCAAACCAAAAAAATATATTGAAAATATTTTTTTTCAAAAAAGTTGCTATGTCGTGCCACAAAATGTGACACCCCCACATTTGTTCTAACACAGTAACAACAAGAGCAAATACATTGCCGAAAATTGTTTTTAATTTAAAATTAAATTCAAATTTTTATTAAATGCAAAAACAAAGAACACCTTTTATTGAAATTGTGTAGCCAAGGCGCTGAAAGCCAAACAAACATGGCCGATAACTGTAAACACTTACATGGTCTAATAAATAAATAAAATTATTTAACAAATTTGAGTGTGTGTTTGTTGTTCGCCAACAAAAAAAACTTTAATTCAAGGTCTAACTTAGCTTGTTCGGCACTGCATTGCCTGATCACCTATTTAAAATGCATCTAAGCAAATACCGCAGAAAAGTTGGCATGGGAGTTGCATTTGGTCTCCAACGTGGGGTATTTTCTGGTGCCACACGATTACCTTCTTTGACGCCACCACCACGACCAACACCGGCAATAACAGCAACACCAATGATTGTACGCTTTGCCCCAACCAGTAACAGCAACAACAACGACATAAGCTATCATGTATTTATGTCACCAAATATTGAAATTTTAACAAATTTTTTTGGTTAATAAAAAAAACAGACAACATTTATTTGCCTGCAGTTTATGGCAATTTAACATGTAATTCGATTTGCTGGGTCCGAACCATGGTCGACTGGGGAGAAATACTACATTTCGCTTTAGGTTTTGGTCGGAAATTTGTATTGCATTTGCCATGAGGAGCCATACATTTGTCCCAGTAACCAAGCGTCTTAACAGAATAGATAAACGTCAGGGTGTCACATTTGTACGTTTTTTCCATTATGTAGAACCTCTACCAAAAAATTAACAGGTACAGTTCTTAATGGTATAGTTGTTAATTTTTGGAAGTTCCTTAGGGTATGGTTAAGGTTTTATATAAAGGGCCCTAAATAAATTTAAGGGTGCACAATCGCTACTTTTTCCTTATATGTATATTATTAAGGTCCTCCTCTTAGACAGGGACCTTATCCCAACATTTTCCTTAGGTGAACCCACAAATTTTCGATCTGGGCCAGTGTGTCGACGACTTTGTTGAAATTTTATAATAAAAAGGACAGTTAATCAAAAGTGTTGATATTTTCCGAATCAATGATGCTTCTTGACGAGGACCTGGAGCAACTCAGTAGATTATGAAAGAAACCTGAATAGAGGGGACATATTCCCCCTCACCCAACACCATTCTTCCAAGCTTTACGAAATTTTCGGATAAAGATGCCTTGGAATTTTTATTTTAGATATAAAGTGTCATAAGTGTCATTTTGCTCGAAAAATTTAAACCACAACCTTACCCAAGAGAGTTTGTATAACCGCGAAATATTGATTCTAAGCCCAAAATTTTATATATGGATCTCTCTATATCTTGTATTTTTTTTTTTAATTTTTTTGAATGAAGGCAAAAAATGTCGGAAATAGCATAAAATTCTAATTTGTTCGAATGAGTCACCTTTGGCACGAATTATGGCCTTCAATGCCAATGCCAATGAAACCGTCGAATATTGCTCTGCGGTATTTCGGCCCATTCCCGGCGTAGCGCTTGCTTGAGGTGATCGACACATTGGTATTTTTTAGTGACAACCTTGCTTTCCAAAATACTCCAGACACAATAGTCCAACGAATTTGTATCCGGAGATTTTGGTGGCCATTATGTTCTGGAAATGAAGCGAGGAACCTCATTTTTGTAACCATTCTTGGGTGGCGCGTGCTGAGTGCGATGGTGCTGAGTCCTGTTGGAATGTCCAAGGTCTGCGGATAAAATGTTTGTGTGCCGAAGGCTTTAATACACCCTCCAGAATATTTTCGCGATAATATTCGCCATTTATTCTGATGCCACGGTCGATTAATACGAGCGGAGAGCGACCATCGGCTGTTATGGCGGCCCACACCATGGCCGGCGCTTGAGTTCTGGTGGACAACCAAAGGTGCACATTTTCAGCTGACCTCTTTAGCAAGTAAACACGATCATTTTGTTTGTTGTGGAGAAAACAAAATTCGGCAGTTCACCACTTTCGGCCAAGCGAAACAACTCTTTAGCTCTTTTGATTCTATTTTCTTTGCGTTGCGGGGTAAGTTCTTGCACTTTTTGGAATTTCAATGGCTTTAGCCCGAGTTCATTTTGCAATATTTGCCGAATGGAATATTGCGATATGTTCAGCTTTCGAGCCATTTTTCGGCCACTGCGACGCGGGTTTCGAACAAGTCACATCTTGACTTTTTGAACCATTTCTGGTGAAGTTACTGTTTTACTCCGTCCGTTTCCTTGATGTCGATCTATGTGGTTTTCCAGCCAAATATAAGAAAATCACACTATCACGCTTGAATTCCATAACGAATAACTTTTTTTCTGGAAAATTCTCACATAATGAGCTGTCACTGGAATAATTTTAACAGCTGTCGGACGAGTGGCTATCTATCATCTTTATAACCGATCTTGAATTATCGAAAATGTTGAGATGTGTGAAATATGAAGAGAATCGGGTGCTTATTTCACATTTTATGAGAGCTACAATTATTTAAAATTCTGACCCGTTGTGGGGTAGGTACCAGAAGGTGTGATCTAATCTCTACCATCTTTATAGCAGATCTCGTGTTGATAGAAATATTGAGATGTGCTGTGTCTGGAAGGAATCTTATATTAATTTCGCCTTTTATAAACTTCACGATTATTCAAAATTTTAACCCTTTGTGGGGGAGGTACTAGAAGGAGCTGACCGATATATTCCATCTTCACACCAGGCTTTGGGATAATAAAACTATTGAGATGTGTAATGTAATTTGAATACAATCGGACACTTACATTACATTTTATGAGAGTTATAATTATTCAAAATTGTGAAAATTTGTGGGGGGCCTGACCTAGCACTGACGCAAATATTGGATTTGCAAATTTGGAGCAAATTCGGATTATCGTTTATCTTTCTGTGCAGAAAATTTAGTTTTTGAAAATGTCGTCCTTTGTGGGGGCGGTACCAGAAGGAGTGGACCGAACTCGATCTAATTTTGACAAAAATATTACAAAATACCAAGTTTTGGACCAAATCGGATACTCCCTTCGAGAGTAATAGTGCGCACAAGTCAGACGGACATCGCTAGATCGACTCCAAATGTCCTGAAACGGATTTGGTCCAAAAAGACTTATGGTCTAAAACTTTTATTTCGACGAGGCACGTTTTGGCCGTATAAAATGATATATACCTTCTTTAGCCATATGGCTGAGGGTATGAAAAAGAAGTAAAGCACTTTTTTATACCATAAAATTAGCCCAATGTAGAGATAAAAAGCTCATATACAGAACTCAATTTTCTGCGAGAGAAAACATCATCAGGTAGTGATATCGTAGTAAAAAAAAAAACATTTCAATTCTTCATACATCTGTGCGTTTTTGTACCAATAATTCAATATATTCCGATTACTACAAAAAGATCAAAGAAAAAGACGAAAAGAAACGTATAATATCAATTTTGCATAGTGGAGACATACATCTGTTCCTAGTAAAAAAAAATATTAAAAATATACAAATCCCATTTAAACTTCGCAACAAAATATTACTTTTCCAATTTCAATGGATGAAGAATGTCCTTTGAGACTGGTACATTTCATACATTATTTAGCTCTTTTATGTAATAATTTAAACAAAATAAAAATCAAATTTATAATATCTAAAGACTCGAGCTCCGCCAAACGTCTTTACAGTTCCACAATACCCCAACACAATGACCATAGCAGAATTCGCCTTTGAAACAAAAAAAAAAAAACAGCAACCAAATACCATTTACAAATTATTGGCAATTTTGTTGGGTTTTAGATTTGTTTGGTATTTGCTAAATTGCTTATTTATCTGTGAACATGCTTACAGCACACACATGTAACACAACTACATATACACACATTATGCACATGAATACATACATACATGCATACATATGTATGTGTACGTTGGAGTGCTCTTAGCTCACAATTATAAACACTTAAATTGTTTCTGTCGTTTCCTTTTAGTTTAGCGTCTCTCTAAAGCATGTGTATGTGTGTGTGTCGCGGCTATTCGCAATGGCTGCTAGCTGTTGTCACTAATGTCCAGGCTATTTTTGAACAAGTTGAAATTGTTGCCAGTTGTTGTTGGTCGTATAAGAAATACATTTTTGTTGTTCTTGTTGGATTTTTTTTCTTCTAAACTTTGCAATTGTTGTACTCCAATCAATGTTCGACGCGACGCGTTGATCATATTTCAAGTTAGCCAAACTATGCGACACAGAGAACCATATGTTGTCAACTTTGTGTGATCGGCCAAGCAACATACCATGGTGATTTCATGACTTTCGATTTTAAATAAAACTAAAGAGGTACTCTACATTACAGCTATATAAAAAGATCAAATCAAATTCTCCAGGAATTTGTGAAAATAGAGGACTTGGAGAGCACCTATGGAAGATATAACAAACTGCAAACCTTTACTTGCCCAGCTTCCAGAGATTGGGTTTGTTTATACTTACAGCCATATGGGTAGAGAGGGTATATATCATTTGATACGGCCAAAAACGGTTTGGAGTCGATCTGGTGATGTTCGTCCGTACGTCTGTCTGGTGCGCACGATAGTTATCGAAGAGAGTATACGATTTAATCCAAACCTGGTACATCGTTATGTTATTATCAAACTTAGATCAAGTTTGCAGATTTGCAATTTTGGTCCACTCCTCCCCCACAAAAGGTCGAAATTTCTAGTAACACAATATTCTGTGAATATGGGATATATCGGTCCACTTCTTCTGGTACCTTCCCCTACAAAAGGTTAAAAAGGTTGAAAAACCATGAAGTTCATAAAACTCGAAATTATTGACCGATTCCATTCAGACTTGCACATCTAAATATTCATATCAACACAAGATCTGATATGAAGAAGGTAGAGATCGGAACATTCCTTGTGG